TGAGAGGACGATTGATCGATCGTCAGAAATAGATCGCAGACGAGGGAGGCATTTATGTATCTATGACGTGTGTGCACCTTCGAGTCAACGGGCGGGCGTTTAGAGATCAATTTAACGCGGCACGAGGAAAGTGCTTATCGCGAGGACACTGTTTTTGAATCGATTTAACTCTCCGGTATAATACAATTTCGCGATGCTCAGGGATTTTCCGAGTACGAGCAATTCGAGATCATCGGCCCCGCCTAACGCGCGAGCGGATTGTAACACCGTCGCTCGCGCGATGTACTACCACGCCATGGCCTCTCTCGCCGCATGGCGTAGATATATGTATATGTACGGTATACGTTATGTTTGCACTGTAATTTTCCACCCAACTCGTCGGCGCTCCCGGTCGACGGCGGAGCCACCACCCCGACCCATCCACCCTTCACCCATAACGCTGAAATAACACCCCACGCAGCCGCCACCGCCGCCGCCGCACTCGTGCTATGTGTTTACGAGTGTCTACATCCGAACGCGGGCAGGCGCGCGCGCACGAGCGTGTATATACGCGCGCGAGGGTCGTGTGTTATTTATATAATTGCTCAATAGCCTCAATTACGGGACCTTATTCAATCATAATCATCCTCCGGTGTTATTTGCGGACAAGCCCAGCTGATTGTAAGCACTCGACGCGCCGCGCCGCGCCGTCGATCGACGTAGAGCGGCGCGGCCGCCGCGTCGTCGTCGTAGTCATGAAAGAATATAAGCTCCTCCTCGTGGTGTGTAGAGTATATAGAAATTTACGCCGTCCCGTCGCTACGTATCGCTAGCTCCTCTCGTTCCCGCAAAAACGAATTGACGTGTCGAGAGAGAGAAAAAGAGAGAGAGAGAGACAGAGAGAGAGAGAGAGATTTATCTTTATTTCAGCTTCAACTTCTATACAATGTGCGTTAAAGACGATGTCAAAATTTATCAGCGTTGTTACCGTTCTGTGTGACTTTTTTACAACTGCGTGCGTTCTTTTTTGTCACTTAAATCGCCCGCTTGATCGTCACCTTGGTCCCGTTTTAACGCGCATTTATTAATAACCTCGACCTTTGTCTCTCACTGACACGTGTTTTCCTTCAGACATGTCAACGGGACGAATGCGAAAGACAACGCGAGTAGTCTCTCTCTTTCTCTTTCTAATTCTCTTGCTCTTGTTCCGGCTTGAAATGGAACCGAACGTGCGCTATCTGCGAACTGCGAGGGATCCGGGTCTCTCTCTCTCTCTCTCTCTCTCTTCGCGTTACGGATCTAAAGTAAAGTGCACGTCCCTCACGGGCAACCCCCCGGTACGGCGCGCAACGTATCGCAAAACGTTTCTCCCTTTTCTCTATCTTCACCGACCGCGCGCTGTCGCCATCTCCCCCCTCCCTCCCCCGTAAAGTGGACACATCCTAATTCCATCAAGAGGGTTGAAATAATCGCAGGTGCGGAGAAACAGCGCGGAAAGCCTGACCACACTGCGCGCCGTTAAATGAGAGAAAAGGATATTACCGCCGAATATGTGTCTGGCAGTGAGTTAACTTTTCTCCCAAGACGGATGTTTCCGTACAATAACGTCGGTTGTGCGCCTAGTGTTTCGCTCAACAACCGATAAGAAAAATTATATACAGAGCTACTTCCAATGAAATATAAATGTCTATGAAATATTATATTTGCCCTGGTACAACTGTTGCGTCATACGGAATTTCTTTTCTTTTTCGCGATAAGAGATTTATTGTTGCGTTAGAAGAAACTCACGCGCGCACATAAATATATTCCTTTGTAATCTCCTTGATCGATTTGGACGGAAATTTCTGAAAATTTTAATCGTCCCGTCTTAAAGATTAAGAACGCGAGAGAACATCCATCATGCTCAACGATCCATTCACTTCAACTCCTTCTCGTTTTGCGAAGACTCCTCGTATCTATTGCGAGCAAGTTTGTTTAAAACTTGAGATTCTGCTCGAAGCTATGTATTTGCAATTACCGACTAGTATAATGCACGTTCGTAAATACATTGTAAATTCGTAACAGTGATATTCCTCGTACAAAATTCCGCGGTTTCCTCGACGCTCTCGTCGTGTTTTGTATCGTAAGCGTAAATAAACATCAAAAATTAATTCTCTGCGAAAAAACAAGCAAAAAGAAAGAAAGAGAGAGAGAGAGAAAGAGAGAGAAAGAGAGAGAGAGAGAAGCGGTTCTGAGAGACTTGCCTTATCGAGAAATAATAAGAAAAAAGAACCCGAGGAGAACAAGCGATCCTCACTCGAGAAGCTCTGCTCGAGTTAAATTAAAAATACATTCCTTTCAATTACCGCATGGAAAAAAGTTTTGCTGGAATAGCAAAAGAAGATTAGTTAGTATACGGCTGGCCAAGAAAAATTCATAGTAGGCTCGTCAAATTTTTCTTGCAGGTCACATAATAGCGAAACTTCTTTTCCGTGGCGACGCGTCTAACAACACCCAAGACGTCGGCAACGGCCGCGCTTGTAAATTCCTCCGGCCACGCGTTGCCACGCGTTTTAATCAATCCCATTTCAACACGGTTCATCATCCCCCGTGTATCGCACGAACAAGAAATACGTGAGAATATATCGCGATATCGAAGAAGAGGGATGTTCGCGATCGTTGAAGTTTCTGCTCGCCTCTAGCAATTTCTATTCCATTCGCGCGCAATTTTCTTCCTCGCGTACACACACTATATTCTGATTCAACTTCAAAAATTTTGTTTTACCGAAAGAGAGAGAAAGAATAACATTGACAGAAACAACCAAACTTACGAAGCTCGGTGCGATACGTATTTCGTGTGCCACAATGGCCACAAAATAGCGGAAAGTAACGCGCGAACGAAAAACCAATCCGTAAACATCGCTTGTCAGATTTTTCTCTGTTCAACGCACACACTTTCCCTTTATCCGCGCGTGCACATACGTAGTTTTTGTCCACGGAATGACGGAAATCGTGACAGTCAAATGTATAGAGTGTATCGAATTAAACCGCCACTAGTGCGCAAACACAGAAGTCGGATTTCTAATTAAAAGCGAATGACGCGTGAAAACAGACGAGGGATAGGGCAACTCATTGGTGTTCTACTAAAAGCACATTTAGCGCGCTTAAACCTCTGTAAGTTTATACCTGCGCACTCCCCCCCCCCATTTCACCCCCCCTCCCACCGTACAATATATAATTCGCGTTGTCGCGTTTAACGTGTAAAACATGTAAGTTCAATTGTTCACAATCGAGTTAATTTCCACATTTCTCGAACATTTTCGTTGCCGTATGCGCGCGCGCGCGCGAAACGATTGCATCATAATCGTTTCGTTAGGGTGAAGTGTGACGATGCGTTTCAACGCGACAATTTGATTTGTCTTGCAGACACGCGTCGCTCCCGATAACGATCTCGATTACTCCCAGCCGAGGCGCTGCGCTTCGCTCACGCGATTAGAATTGATCCTAATTACACCTCAGTGTAAATCCCGTATTAGAAGACTCGTCCTGCGAAGATCCGACGCGAGAGAGTCAGAGAGAGAGAGAGAGAGAGGATGCGCGACGCGCGCACTTCGGCTGTTCGGAGTCTCGAATACCATTACCGACGTCAGATCTATTTAATTGTTGCTAATGCCGGTTCTAATGATCCGTTTCCAATCTCCCACTCCGAGACTACAAACCCCGGGAGAGATTCCGCCCGGCGCGAGACGCTCTCGCTAAAACCGATACAAATCGGAGACGCGAGACTGTGCATAAATTTCTCTCGCGAAGCAAACTCTCCTGTAAAAAAAAAAAAAAAGAAAACGAAAGAAAACTGACTGACTGACTGAATTGTTCGAAGAGAAAGAGAGATCGCTAAAATCTGAGAGATCTCTTTTCGATAACAAATCTCTCACGAAATCGCATTTGAAAATTGTATTTTTTGCGCGAAAAAAAAAAGTATCAGCGCGAGAGAGTTGTTTGCGAGGGACAAAAATATCGATTCTTATCGCAGATCTCTGAGACGTTATAATTCAGAATTTCAGCGTTTCTCGCGTGAAACACCGATAATAACGTAATCTGCGTCCATTGCGTCGTCGGTATCGCCAACGTTCAGCAACTAGATTCGCCGCGCGCAACTCCCGGATCAGTATAAGTTCGTCGTTGGCGACAGCTTTGTTTAATCGTTACCTAATGTCTCTAATGTACCATTCTAACCCTTCGTTCGTCCAGGGAAATTGCCTCTCGTAGCACAGTCCCTCCCGGAGGTCTAAGCTACACTGAGCGTAAAGCTTTCGCAATCTCTATTGCGAAGTTCTCGGTGAGCCCTCGCTTCGCTTTGACGTTTTCGTGTGTAGGATCAACCGGATTGTTGAATCAGCGAATTGCCGTTCGATGTTTACGAAATGTGCATCGATATCGTGGTGCGTTTATATAGCGACAAGATCAACGTGCGGACTCTGCCCTTCATATGGAAATGGAGTCCCCCCCTTTAATGATTGAGTTCACCTTAATCGCGCCGCAAAGGTGCGCTTAATGATCGGAAGCATCAGGTGCATCACGTGTTCCCAGCGGATTGTTAGAGAGAGAGAGAGAGAGAGAGAGAGAGAGAGAGAAACCAACGTCCTTAATTAGGCTATTAGGAAGTTTACGAGATCGAGTGTGAGATAAGCGTAAAAGAATTCTGTCGCGAACGATATGTTACACGTCTTTTTGTTTTGCAATATTGTAACTATAAAAATAATTATCAAAACATTCTGTTCCAAAGAGAAGCGCCAGGACAAATGGTCGTAGGTTTTAGACGAGGATTAAAGCGAAGAAAATCGCTTCGCGAGTTGGCATCCGCGACAGACACGAGGCTCATTACTTTGTAGAATATCCTTAATCCCTCTTAATTAAATGCTTTACCAATCATTCTGTCTTTTACGAGATAGATGCCTCCGCGATGCCTCTTTTGTCATGCAAAAATGTGATATTAATAATTTTGGAAAGAAGGCAGGAAGAAAAAAAAATTAATCACTTACCTTAACCAGTGTCTCTTTGTGAGCGATGTGTGACAACAGATGGCGTCGTATTGATCGGCGAGCCAAACTATCAGGATGATGTAAAACGCGGTAGTTGTGTCGTTGAAAAATTCAGACATGAGAGCTTCCATTCCTGGGGAAAAAAAAAAAAAACCAACGTTGGATAAAACCGTTTGCTGAGTCATGCGATTAAAACAAACACAGCTTTCGCTTTTATCTTCGATAATAAAACGCGTATCAGTTCGTATCAATCATGCGAAGCGGCAATTTTTACTTTATTTTTGGAATTACGTTATCTTCCGCTGAGTTAAAATATCTTTAGAGAAAGATGATAAAAATATATAAAGCAAAAAAAAAGTACGCGTGTAAAAGTAAAATATAAAATATAAAACGTATATATAAAAGTACGTATATATATACAATGCATATATATGTACAATATGTACATATATGTATACATGTATATGTACATATTTGTGCTGGCGTGTCTTCTAATGAATTGTGACGATATATCGGGAGCACCCACGGGAAACCACGCGGAAATGACAAAAGTATTGTAGGGCGTGTCTCGGCAGCAGGTCACGAAAGTGCGAGTACACCGAGCTAAGAGATGATTAATGATGTTTTTCTCATGAAGAATCATAGTGTACGATTCGTATATTTCATCATATATTTTAATAAAATGTGAAATAATTTGTTTCCCTCGCTCTCTTTATAATATTGCAAACATACAATATTTATACAGTAATACAGTACACGTGGGATTTCTCTTCCCTCCTCTCCTCGAGAATATAAACTATTAACAATAATATGTTCGAAAAATAAAACAATTTATATAAGCAAAATTCATCAGTGAAAACTAACAACCAATCACTGAATTATTCTCTCTATCTCTAATATTTTCTAATAATTATTTCCCAATAATGATTTCTTTAATAAATGTCCGGTTATTGGTGCACGTTCGGTCATTGAGACAGTTACCTCCTTACGAGACAAAGTAAATATGAAGCAAGGAGATCGAGAGAAAAAAAAGCCAAAGAAAAAACATTCGTATGTGCCGACCGATCGCCACCCTTGTTTGTGCTTGCGCACGTGGTCGAGAGTGGTATTGAATCCCGTGGACTACGTTTATAGTCTAGGTTTTTGAAAAATGCTCCCGCAAGTCGAAAGGGAGTGGATAGTAGACGACGCGCGTGTATCACGCGCGGGAAAGGGTGACGTTAAAGGGATGGATCGTGGCAGTGCTAGATGAAGGCTCCGAGGGAGGGGGGACGAGCACAACCAGCGCGAGGATGGATGATCCGAAGACTAAGGGCGCGACGTTAGATAATTAGTTTCCCGATCGGACACAGCGCGCGACGGAGGATCGCGGAAGAAAAAACAACCCCTCCTCCCATCCCCGCGAGAATGCTAATGAGGAGCTGCGCGTCCTCCCCCGGATGTGCTGTGCGCACGGCGCAGGATACAGAAGTACAAATCGACCGGGAGACACGGTGTGACAGCGCTCGCGGGGGCGGCTCCGACAACGTGAGAAATTACTTCTTGTGGGAGCAGGGGCGGCCGATTTCTTTTGTTTTTGTTTGTTTGTTCTTCACGAAGAAAAGAAAATCACTTATGCCCGTCCATTGTAAACGAACGTTTGATGTTCGCATTCCGGGATCTTTGCGCGCGAGAGTTACTCCGCTTAATTTTCGGTCGTGGATTCTTCGACGCGAACTCATCAAAGATGAATTTACAACATTTTACACGGAGGAAGATTCTCCGCCGAGTTATACAACATTTTTTTTTTTCAGTCCAAATAGAGAACGAGACTTCTCTATTTTTCAATACCGCGCGCTCGATACAATTTCGTTTCGAACCAACGTGAACGCGCACATGAATCAGTTACATATTGCCGCGCCGAAAGAATCGTTAACGTCGGATAATGCGCGCGGATAATGCACTCGTTTAAATGCATACTAGTCGGGAGTATTACCTCACCTCAGGTAGATAAGCCTCTAACGCGGCTATCCTGACCGAGCGCACGAAGAACACCGCCTAACTCCCGATCTTTCCAATTCTCCCTTCTTCTCTATTCCGCTGTCCTTCTCAATTTTTATAAAGACGTTCAAATTCTCAACGGTGAAATTGCGCGATCAAGCATTTGCGTCGGCGAACATTTCGATCGGTATATCTTTGATCATCATCAGCTTAGATAAGCTTGGGAATTTAACTATCCAAGCTTGGCTGATGACGATCAAAAATATACTCGAATTCGAATTCGAAATTGTTTTACTCTTAAATATTTTACTTTTAAATATTTATTTATATAGTTCAAAGAGAGAAAGAAACAGACAAGTTTATTATTTGTTTTTGTTTACTAAAAATAAAAAGAAATTTATCTTTTCATTGCGACGCGCCGCTTATACGAGTCGCGATAGTCCTCGAGAAGTGTGTTTGAAACACACGGGAGACGCGCGAAAAGCTGCGTGCGGTCGCGTCACACGTACCGAAAGTCACGTCATCAATGGATCGTGCTAAAACGATCGATGATCGAAATTGAAGGAATGTCGTTTGTCGCAGTTTAACGGACATCGGACTAACAGCACGGGTTCGCGAATCATAACTAATTCGAAACCGAGGCAGCGTGGACCCAACGTCCGTAATTGAGTTCACGCACGAGTTCTCGCAGTTCACGTTGCACACGCACCGACGCTCATCGCCGTCATCGGCGCGACGCAGCGCCGCGACCGGTCGAGCGTGAACTTCTGTAAATATTGTTGCAATGATACTAAATTTAACTCCCGTTGATTCCAAATAACAATTTACGGTATATGTTACAGCAACACGCGCGCGAAATCTTTTTATCACCGCGACTCTATTTCACAATCGTCGTTCGTTAGATAGAGCGTCGCGCGCGCGCGCGCGGTGCTTTAGTTGTGGCGATGCGCGCGAAGAATCGCGCAACACGCACTCACGCCACGTGAATTCATATTCCGGCGCAACGCAAATTACAACTGGAATGTGCGCGTCGCGCTGCCTTCTGAAGAGGCGGTTAGCTAATAATGTGGTTAATCAATGGTCAACTGGTGTATGGCCATCGCTCACGTGTCATCGGCATCGAGAGTGGAGCCGGTGACAATATCGCGCGCGCGACTCGCCAGAAACCCCAGTCTCCCATCTACTAATGGACATAATATTTCCCGCCGACTGACCGCGCTGACTGTGGTGAACACGCGTTTGAGTCGCGAGATTGAACGCGTGTGTCTATATTTGACTTTGACCGAACGCAAAATAAATACAATCGCGTGTGTCCCGTGTTCTCGTTCAATTTTTCCGCCGCGAGGAAACGCCGCGGACGTGGATTTTTCTTCGAAAAATTGTGACAAAGAGATCTCGTTCGAATTGTTGAGCGTTGAGAACAGTGCAAAAGTGCTCGCGCGTTGATGAATCCGTCGGTGCCCGTAAGTATTGTAGTTACTACAGATACACTCCGTAGTAACTACAATAATTAGGTACAATTATGCGCAACACACAATCGATCTTATCTCTCTTATCTCTTATACCCACGGGAGACACACGCAACGCGCGTCTCGAGCCCCCCTCGCGGATCTCTTCCCGCGAAGTGACTATTAACGAGATAATTAGAAGCGAAATCGTACTCGTCAAAGCGGGTCTTGGAAGATTTAGTCAAGGACCAATCAGGGCCCGCATTAAATCGTATGTCAGGAGCAGGAGCGCGGCACATCGTGGAGTAGCGAATCCCGATCAAATTATCCGCCGCTATACCAGGGATCTTCGCTGCCGGAGCTTGCATTGTGCCGCCGCAGCGGCAGAAGCGGCTTTAGAGCCGCTGACGGAAGCGCACGGACTATAGTTTAATCTGGTCTAGCGCGAAAGCCGTGATCTAGCCATTCTCCTATGTCGGCGTTGCTATATAGTAGATACGCGCGCAAGCGATTATATATAGCGATAATTCGCGATAATTCGCGTAATCGTTAACATCACACGCGTGAAAGATACCGAAATCATCAATTTCATCTCCATACGTCACATGACGATGCGGGAGAAACAATTCGTGTAAAACTTATCTTCGAACGATGTGAGAAAATAAGATAAATGGTTTCAATGACCGGACAAGTAGGTACTCACAGGCCAGACAATTGATTACAAATAATTTTAACAAAAAAATAATTTTAACAAAATATTTACATGTACATAAAGTTAGAAACAAAAAACATTAAAAATAGAACATCTTGAAAAATATTCAAAATGAGAATTGTTACGTAATATTTAATATTTATGTAAAATATGCAAATATATATATATATATATATATATAATATGTAAATAATAACAATATGTAAATATACATATATATTTACATTTGGGAATGTGTGTGTTTACGTTTAATATTTATTTAATAATTTATTTTATTTTTATAATTTTTTTAATTAATTTATTTTTTTAATAAATGTCCGATCATTGATGCATATTCGATCGTTAGACATTTATCTTTCTGGAAATTATGTTACGTCCATCATTTACAAGAATTTTTAATCTTGACGGTGCTTTTTATGTTGCAATCACAACTGTATATATATATATATTGTACATATCTGCAGCGACACACGTTATAAATTCGCGCTGTACTTTTTATCGCGATTTCAGTTTCGAGTTATCCAAAATATTGTTATTCGCTTTAAACATCGGCGTTCGCGTGCGTTGAAGATGTTCACGCGCCCGTGTGCGAGAAACATGCAAATACACACACGTTATCCACGGCGCGCGTCGCGACTCCGTCGTCGACGTTTTGCGAGCAGATAAACGGGAATATGGCACGGGGTTGCAGCGGGTGTTTTGACTGTCTCCGAAAATGTGTTTACAGCGTGTTAGGCGGTCGATCATGCGTCACTGATGCACAGAGGCGCCGGCGCGCCTTCGTTCTTTGACGTTCCATTATGCAAAACGACGTCTTTCCACGTCGTACCTGACGCCGAATGCCGAACGACGCGTGGACGATTTGACGTGAATTCATGCTGATGATACCGTGAGCGACCACCGCACAAAACACTGCCCATCAACGCAGAGACGCGCGAAAAGTGAAAAAAAAAAAATGGAAAAAAATAAAAATAAAAATAAAATACAGGAATATTCAAACGACGGACATATGTATTGTGTGCAGCAGTCATTATGCACACGGAATGAAGGACGTGCACACAACGTGTAATCTAAATGCTAACGTAAATAATAACAGATCTCTTGAAACCACTTATGAATCTTAAACAATCAAAAACCGCGGAGATTTTGAGAAAATGTTTGAGGAAGCGCAAAATAGTGTTGGTATCAAACACACACACACACACACGTACACATAAAATATTAATTATTTACTAATAATAATTTGATTTCGCGATTTCTCTCTATGTTTATTATCGCGCAGAAAAGGGGAGAAACGGCACGAATCGAAGGAAGAAAAGGACACGGAAATGCTGGAATAACGAAGAGGAATCATGTAACGATATATCCTCTTTGTAACATACGGCGAAGAAGTGAGAGAAGGAACTCTACGCGAGAGAGAGAGAAAGAATCACAGGATGACGGATGGAGAGCAGGAAGCGACACAGGAACCGGAACCTATTACTCCAGATAACAACTTCCCTAAGGCTCCCTTTCCTTCTACTTTCCGTAGTTGTACCCCGACGTGTGTACATACATACATACATACGTATATGTGCTTTCGATTTTTGTACGAACCTTGGCGACGAAGAAGGGGAGAGAACCGGAAATTTGCCACTTCTGTTACCATTTCGCTTGCGCTTACCACGCAACTGGTGGTGTATATATATATATATATATATATATATATATATATATACATATATATATAATAAATAAAGTCTTTATCGTGTGGACTATATGTAGGCTGAACTATTTGTTTTCTTTTTGTTTTTTTTCTTTTTTTATCAAACTCTTGGGAATATAGTCGCGCGATTTTAAATTCTAGTCGATGCGACCAACTTCGTCACGATAAATAAAAACTATAAACAATAAATAAAACTATACATGTAAATAAATCTTTTGTGATCGTGTTTCTTGGAAAAGTGAAGCAAATGTGAGAACATATAAAATACAGTATCTAATCAGTATGTCAAAAAAAAAAAACTCGCAAAAAGATTGCGAGTTGGAAGGTTACGAATTATCGCGCGGGCAGTCGAGCGCAAAACGAAGACCGATTAATCCGGTTTTATCAGTGTTTTCAGAATCGTCGAACCGGCGCGGGCGAAGATTAGCGATGTCGCACTTTATGCAAGTCAATTGGACCATTGGTGCCA